GGGGGTTGGAACTGGAGGAGCTTTAAGGTCCCTTCCAACCCAAATCATCCCAGGATTCTACGAGTTTCAGGAATTGGAACAGGGCAGAATTGCATCTCTTCTGGTTCAGTTGATTAAAAACAATATTGGTTTTTTTCTTGTTTGAACAGATAAACAAAAGGAGAAAAAGAAGAAGAAAAAGAAAAGCAAAGAGGTACTGTTGAATTCATGAGAGGTGGTCTGCCATATTATCTACTGCTCAAGGAGAGGGGTGGCCTTCCACAGTGCACTCTGCACCTGGTGGACTTCCTTCCATTCTCAATCCCACAGCCAGACCTGTGCCTCTCAGGCTCTGCAGAGCATTAAGCTTAAAAGCAACTGTTCTAAACAGCTGCATTTCAAGCAGGCAGTGTGTGACTGTAAAATACAGGGTTAACAGAGCCATGCATCTCTGCTGGGCTGAGTCCACAGAGAGCACCCTGACTTTCTCCAAGCAGAGGGGTGTCCCTGACAGACCTAATCTCAGACGCGGCGAGGGAAGTCTGCAGGAGGCTTTGTTTTTGACATTTTTGCCTGTCCAATACTGTGGTATCATCGGGCACAAACAGCCTGACAGACCACTACTACGTATAAACCAGATGGTCTTTGCTCTCTTCTGTCCAAACTCGCAGAAGGGTCTTCTGGAATAAACTCCAAGCCAGCCCTGGTAGTAGATGCTTCACCCTAAGTCAGGTTCCCATCAGAGCCAAGTTCCAGGGTGATGTATGCTGGTTACTGGCATGCTCAGAGGACTTGCTAATGAAAATGTTCTTATTTTGCAGGAAGAAGAGAAACCTGCGAAAAAGAAGAGCAAACACAAGAAAAGCAAAGAGAAGGAGGAGAGCAAAGAGGAGAAGAAGAAAAAGAAAAAGAAAAGCAAGGAGAAAAGCAGTGAGATAGATGAACTTGAGGCTTTCCTGGGAGGAGGAGGAGCCAGCATGAGCAAGCCCGGAGGAGGTGGGGACTATGAGGAGCTGTAGCTGGCTGCTGCGCGGCAGACTCCCAGTCGTGCTGTCTCCATCTTTCCATAGGAGTCACACCAGGATGGGTGCAGATCTGTGAAGCTTTGGCTGTTTGCCCAATATTCTCTGAAACTAGAGTTGGCAAAACAAAAGCTTCACATCTGTGGGTGCTGTTCTGGTGTGTTCCTTATACAAAGAAAATGCAGCTGAGATGTACTTGAGTAAGGGGATGGTTCAGGGCACAGCTCCCAGGCCCGCTTCCAGGCTGCTGTTTTTCTCCTTCCAGAGATGCCCTGTGGGAAGCTGGCAGGGTGTGGGAGAAGAAGGGGACCTGCTGCCTGCTCTGCCCCAGCTATATTCCACTCCTGCACACCTGAAATTCCTGTCTTGTTAAGAGGAGTGCAACAAAACATGCCGCATGAATGCATCACGCTCGCCTGTCTCAAGTCTTTAACTTTCTATCCTTCATATTTTTTTAATGAGAAAGGTGATGTTGACCATTGCTCCACCCAGCAGTTGCTGAGCTTTAGATGGAGCAGATCATGGTATGGTAGAGCTCTAACACAGCAGCCATAGGGCCAGAGCAAGAGAGTGCGTGTGGTTTTTGGAGTCCGTTGAACGGGACCTTTCTGTGCAGCAGCTTAATCAGCACTCACTGGTGCTGCTGTTGGGATTCATGAAGCTCCTTTGATTTCCGTGGCCCCAGTGTCTCAGACACTACACGTAAGCTGCTATGCAGTTTGGGAAAACAATGCAAAGAGCAAAGCTAACCTGAAAGAGAGAAGAATCAGTGCTTTTCTGCATTTCCCCCCCTTGGATTTGCATACAATAGAATCCCCTCCCTTCAGTACCTCTCAGGGACATGACTCTCATGTGGAAATGAAGACATCCAGAGCTTCAGAACTGTCTCCAGGGAAGTATTAGCATGGCAAGGCATTTGCTTCTCAGGCATTTTACAGTGTCACTGTAAAACACTGGCTGCCTCTACGCTGAGGGACAAGCACTGCAGCTCAGCCAGTGTCCGTCCTGGGCCAGCGCCTGTCCATCCCACAGCTGCGTGCCCTGGGCCCAGCCTCCAGCCACCAACGTGCTGCCTTCCCCTGCAAGTGGAGAGCCTTCTCCAAGCCCCTGCCTGGGGGAAGCCATAGTTTCTGCTTTGAACCCAAACCCATGGACTGGTACCTGCTCAGCAGCCGTGGCTGCCGTTGGAGGGGCTCTGCAGGCCAGCCCTTCGCACTTGCCTGTGTCCCAGTGAGCTGCCCCTGTCTTTGATGGAGCTTGTGATTTCTCTGCACCCCTTCTGCTCTGGTTCCCGTGTCCTTTTCACAGCTCAGGCGGTGAAGCTCCGTCCAGGTTCTGTGCATTCCATGACCCTGTTGCTTTTAGGTTGATTTGAGGTTTGGTTTTGTTTTTTCCACCACCAACTTTTTGTTGTAAAATGTCAACCATGAAATTCAAACTGGGTTTTAATTCTACATCCCTGTAAAGCAAGGTGTTGTTTAGACCCATGATCCATTCCAGAGTTGTCTTGATCAGCAGGCAATTCCCTGTTCTGTTATTCTTTTTCCTTTCCCCCAGCCTCCAAAATGCACTTGTAACTGTTCCTCTATAAAACTGGGTTTTTTGCTGCATGAGCAGTGTATCATTCAGGTGTGTTTGCCATCAGCGTTTGCCTACTTCTCTGAGCACTACATTTCACATGACGCTGGAGGGAAATCGCATGAGACAGTTCAAATTTTGCACGTCTGGGGAGATAAAAGGGGATTGGGATGTGACTGGATTGCAAAAGGTCAGGTAGGAGCTGGAGTCTCAGCTGGCTGCATTCCTGAAAGCGCTTCTGTTCTGTGAAGGTTTTGGGTCATGTTCCATTTTGCATCGAAAAAGCCTGGCACAGTCCATCTGACTATAAAGCTCTGTTGTACAACTGCCTCTGACATCTTCTTCTCCACCACAAGCCTGTCTGCCTGGGCACAGGAGCTCTGGGTCTCCAGAACTTCTCTACACAAGGGCATCCCGCTGCCCTCCTGCTCTCACGTTCTTACACTTCATGGAATGGGGCACTCAATTAAAAATGGTTAAAACAAACCAGATGTTGAACATAAACCCCATGAGTTCTTTCCCCAAACTCTCCTGAGAGCTGTTGTCTCACACGGTGGAAGGGAGACAGCTCAGGTCTGCTTCTCTGTGAATGCAGCTCTGGGCAAGCAGAAGGCACTGAGCCCCTTGGAAGCACGGATGTGGGCATTGGTTTGTCCTTTACCTGGGCCAGATTTGAGCACCACGGGAGCCTTTACACTCCCTGTGGCTCCTGTTCCTTGTCAGCACAAGGAGCTGAGAGAAAAACAAGAGATGAGTCATTGTGTTCAAAATACTCCTTTGAAAGAGAAAGCAGATGCAGGAGCTCTCTTCACTTGTGCTGGAGCCCCAGGAGGGTGAATGACATGTTTTGGCTTCGGCAGTAAGGCCAGAGAAAACCCACCCTGGGGGTGAAGCGGGAGCATGGAGGGAATAGCAGCAAAAAGGTACTTTCTAGACTTGGATTCCTCCCTTTTTCAGGAATGCTGAACTCAACTGGGGCTGCAGCATGAGCTGTAATCCCATGCCAGCAAGCGGGAGTGAGGGGGAAAGAAACAGACTGAGCTCAGCTCTCCTATGCCCAGTCTTTGAACAAGCTAAATATAAAAAGCATGTGTGTGCCTGTTGTTATGGGGAAGCTTCTGCAGGATCACATGGATATAAATAGTTCTGTGAGCATCTCTAGAGGTACGTGTGGTTGCTTCTGGGTTTATCAGTCATCCAAAAAAAAAACAATTTGAGGGCTGAGGAGCTGTGGGTTCTTGTGGTGAACCCAGAGCTGATGTTGTACCAGCTCGTGGTTGATTTAGAGCAGCAGGAGGGAGAAGTGCAGGTTTATCTGCATTTGCAGCATGGTGAGCCCCATCCTTCGGGCTGCTGCTCCTCTGCCTCTACATCACATCTACTGATCATCTTGGCTTCCACTGAGCCAGCTTGAAGATGGAGCATTTGTGATCAGTCATTGAGGTACCCCTGAGGTCCCCTGTGTCCTCCCAGCTGGGATTGCTTGGGAATTGCTGCCTGGGGAGCAGCCTCCATGCGCTCAGGCATCAGGCTGGGCTTGGCAGCCCTCGGAAGAGGGGACCTGTCTGCAGGGCTGTCTGCTTTGGGGACATCATGTGTAGCATCCCAGTGGGAAAAGCAGAAGCCATGCTGCTAACTGGAGACATGGCTGGAGCTGTGCACCCAGTGTTTGTTCAGGGAGGGTTCCCTGCACCGGGATCCACATTGAGCAGTTCTTGTCTCTTGGCAACTCGGCGTGTGACTTGCTGCAGCTGCTGCAACAAGACGTGGGTGAAGGCGCCCTCCGGAGCAGGGGACGCTCCGCTCTGCACTGGGGATGCAGCCTAGCGTTTGACAGACACAGGATGACTGTGGGGACTTGGAACCTCGGGTGCTCTTGGACTAACACCCGGCAGAGGCAAACCCTGGCACAGGACGGGGCAGGCAGAGCCGAGGCGAGGGCAGTGAGCAGGCAGGGAGGGCTGGGGCGGGGGGACTGGTGGCTCTGCCTCCGGCTGCCTGCAGCTTCCCCTTCCTGCTGCATGGAGAGGCCGTAGCACGTCCTGTCCTTCTGGGATGCCCCCGAGACTGCAAACAAGTGATGCTGGGGAATTCCCGCAGTAGGATGGGCTCAGGGACTGGCTGCTGTGACCAAGCAACAGCCTCAGTCATGGCATAATATAATTAATCCAGTGATGGCTCAGTCTGCTGCTTAACGATAACAGGGCAAGTGCTTGAGCCTCCTTGACTTGTGGGTTTGCCTCCAAAACAAGCCTTCAGCGCCTCACGGATGTCACACATGTCCTTGGCCCTAGGACAGCTCACAGGGAGCATCCAGCCTTCATCTTTCAGCTGCTCCACAGGGAAGTTGCTGAGCAGAAGGAAATGATCCCCTGGTACCATCAGAGAGTGGCTGGACCCAGCAGGTCCCACAGGCTTGGGCAGACCTTGGTCGGGTGAGATGTGATATTGTTGGCTCAAGCTGCAGCTTCGGGCATGGAGCAGCCTGTGGGAACACAGAGCATGATGATGGGTCAGAGCCTGAGGTTCCCTATGTGCACTTGGGCTCTGCTCGGGCTGTGTGTGGGGTGCTGCCTATGGGGTAGCAAGTCAGCCCCTGAGCCACTAAACCCGGTGATCTCCAAATAGGTGGCAGCAAGGAGGGGAAGAAGTGGTGTGGCTGTCACTGCAGAGGTGAGATGAGGCGAGGAGGATGCTGTGTCCCCCAGTGGCAGCCTACCCTCCCTGCTCTGGGACAGCGAGTGTTGGTCTGAGGGAGCTCTG